CCCCAAAACCCCAAAACCCCAAAACCCCAAAACCCCAAAACCCCAGTTTATGAGCCACCCTTTGAATTTAATAAATTTTATTTTGCCAAAGTAGAAAATGACGTACAAAATTCAAAAATTTGCATTCATGCTACCTGAAAATGAAGGTGAGAAGTAGTTTAATCCCTTAGAATCGAAAAATGATAGAAGGCTTGGACTGTATGACCAGAGAAATCATGCTCTGGAGAATCATTATTATTTTTCAGGCAAATACACTGAGGATAGGTTCAACGGCTATGATAATTACTACCAGAATTTCAGAGAAGAAGACACTCGTAAGATTTCTCTTCTATTTCCTCTGATTTTTCATATAGATGAACCTGAACCTTGTGATGAAGGAGAAAGAAGTAAATCTCCAGTCAAATCATCATGAAATAATGCAAAGGGAAACCTAAATTTCGGTAAAATTTTGGGATGATTTTGTAGCAAGAAGAGCAATATCCCATAATACAAAATAAATTAGACAAGGAATCGTACTTTAAGTCTCGTACCAGTTTTGGGATAGCCCCAAGTTTTGATGGTTATGCCTCAGAACAAAAGAAAAGAACCATTAGTCGCTGAAATGTAAGGGAGGAAGCTCATCTGTAGGATAATTTATCGAGCAAGCATTATTATCACAGAGGTTCGATCGAAAATACTCAAATCCCTGATTCCAAAAGATTTAATCTAGAGAAATTGAACTATGATAGAAGTTCATACAAGTCCTTACAAAGATCCAAAAGGTCCATTAAAACCAGCATGGCTTCATATTACACAACTCACAAGATGTAAGCTGGCTGCCTGACCATGTAGAAATACTAAAAACAGTAATTTCAATACAAATATGGGAGGCAGGAACCCATATTGGCCTAAAATCAGCTCAACAAAACCAGATAGTTATGCTAAATCCGCTACCAAATAAAAAGAGAAGGTTAGAAGTACAAGAGATGCCTCAAGAAATAAGCTTCTGAGACTTCGAAACCAACCCTGAAATGATAACTACTCAACACAAATATAAGAGTGACTTCTCAAGAGCTCTTCAAGAAGTAAGCACACTTAAGCGCATGAATAAATTTTATCTAGAATGAATTTACCGATTCGAGTTCTCACCACAGATTTCAGCCACAGATTGATTGGTAATTCCCATTGATAATATCTAGCGGGAGGTATAAAGCCAATGCTATAAGCACCAAGCCGCACACAGAGGGCAAAGAGAGCATCTTCTCCTTCGGAGAAGATGACCGGCGCTCAAACCCTCCGAAGAAGTTGGTTATTAAAAAGAAAAAGTTAAACCAAAGGGCGAAAATGAAGCTAGAAATTGAGAACATTATCAAGCACATCAAGGACCCATCTGCCTCTCTGCAGAGAGTCAGAGGAGCCTATGAGGAGCCTGAGGATGCAGAAATAAGAAAGCTCCTGCTTTCTTACTGCTACTTCCTGAATGACTCACTCGATTCTGAAACTTCTGCTGATAAGTTGTTCAAAGTATCTAAGAATGTTTACAAGCTGTTGAAGACTTTCAACGGGTCCAAAGAAATCCGCTTGTATATTAAGACTCTTGTCAGAATTGCAGAGGCTAAGATTAATCATCTGAATAACAAGCGCAAGGCTATTTTGGAGGTGGAAAAGGAAGAATCGCGCCAAAGCTCCATGTCTCCAGAGAGATCTCTCAAAAGAAGCGAGAAAGACTTTGAGTTTGATGTCATGATGCTCTGTGAAAATTATTCTAAAAAATTGATCACTAAGAAGGAAATGAAGAAAACTCTTAAAAAGTTATTCCAGAATACCAAGACTAAGCTTACAATGGACAATACTGATGAATTTAAGCAGACTAAGAAGAATGAGAAGGAGGTAGAAATTGGTGTTCCTAGAAACTTAACACCCATTAGAGCAATCAGGGAAGCACCCTACAATGCTGATGAATTTATTCAATTGAAGAGAGCTCGAACTCCGAACGGTAGGGATACAATGTCTCTCTCTGAATCTCAAATTATCTCTACAAACCAGGACACTTGGAAAAAGATTCATAAAAAGTTTAACAAAAGAAAGAGCTCCAGGGCCTCCTCTACAAGATCTAACAGGAGTCTCTCTAACATGTCAATTGGTGATTTGAAGACCTTCAATTTTGAAAGGACCAAGAAGGGTAAAATCTACATGAAAATCAACGATCAAGATTCACACCAGAGTCAAGAGAGTAAGCATTCTATTAACCTTCCGTTAGAGTTCAAGCCAAATGAGTCCTTTAAGGAGTGGACAAAGGTGATTGAGCGTAAAAATGTGGATAAAATCCCTTTAAGAAGGATCAACCAGATTAACAAACAGAAGTAAATTCAATATTTTCCACATAATTTGGGGTTTTGGGGTTTTGGGGTTTTGGGGTTTTGGGG